GGTAGAATGGTTATGTAGCAGAAGTCTTCTGCAGTGTGTAGCCATTGGTTGTTAATGTCCTGAACATCTGAGATGGAAATGAAGATAAAACATTTCTGGTCTTGATATTGTGCAGTTTTATAGGGAAGGTCCATGCTGCCTCTTGTGAGCAGCTGCGGAAGGGTTCAGGTTCACAGGGCTGGAAATCAATTCAAGTAAGTTACTACTGTGCTTTCCTTTTTCCCCACTGAGATTTACATTCTTTCCCCCCCCTTTTTCTATTTATTTTTTAAAGTCTAGTTTCAATAATCTGAAAATGTTCAAATCATCACGCTTTGTTCCTTTGCTATGGAAAACAACACCACTGCAATTCAGTCCGTTTATTCTCAAATACTATTTATTTTGTGAGTGTATTTAAAAGGCATTGACAAAACACCTGACTCTTTAAATTAGCAATACTTGTTGCCAAGCATGTGCTACTGCTTTGGCTTCATGTTTGTTATCTGATGCCTTGGTCATGCTACAAAAACTATTGCATCTGTTCAGCTCTGGCTGAGATTGTTCATTTCCTTCTATTCAGATACTGGCTTTTCAAGTCTTAAGATATTGTTTGCTTTGTTGCTCTTTTACTCACAGCCCTGTTTATAACTGGAAGGCATGTAAGGTTTCCTGAGAAGAGTTGTGCAGTGAAACAAACTACTCTTATTTCTGAGGGTGTGGAAAGTATTCTTCAACCATTAGACTATTATGTGCCTCATGCTGAGGAAATAATACTATTAATGTGCCTAAGCTGGTCCTCTGAATAGTACTGGGAATGTTAGAACTTGCATCCAAAACAGGTATGAGTTTTCTGACAGGTGAACAGAAAGACAGTCTTCTGATATTGTTACTTCATGCTGTTGTTTCCTTATTTTTGTGTTCCCCAGGGAAATGTGCACTATTTTCTGAGATAACCAAGCATTTCTCAGACAGCTTTTTTGGCTTCTGGCCAAAAGGCCTTGCTTTGTTTTACCAGCTTTTGAAGTTTTCTCTCCTTCGTTATTATCACTTTATTTGTCCATGTAGCAAGTTGCAGCATCCTTACTCTTGATTTCTGGATGTTTGGAGCAATGTTTGGAGTGTGAAAGGAAAGTCTGATGAATTTAAAGCAGACTGCTCAGTCCCTAGGCAGGTCAGAGAGGGATCAAGTTAGTCTGTCCTTTGTCATGGGAAAGGAGCTAATTGGGTCATCTGGCCAAAAAGCTTGATCATTGCTGATTTAAGGTGCTCTGGTATTCCTATTCCCTATCTTAGTAACAACTTTTGAAGGAATTTGGGGTCAGCAAAGAGAGAAAAATTGTATAAAAGGTTCACGTCTGGCTTCATACTATATGGATTTCTCTAATATTTGATTCAAATATACATAGAAACACCAATGGTCAAAAATACTTTCCTACTTTTTCCTCTGCCATTAGACTGTGCAAATAAGCAGAAAGACACTAACACTCACAGTACAGTAAATAAAAGTGGTTTTTTAACAAGTTGTAAGTGCAAACTAGAAAATAAAAATCCAAACTACCAACTGATGAGCACAGAATATTTTTTTTCTGGATAATCTTGTGCTATTTTTAATAGTGGTTTGAAAAAGAAGGCTTTTAAAATTGTAAATGTTTGAAAGAAGTAATCTGTAATGCAATAACAATTGTGCCGAGCAGAAAAAGAGCAGCTGTTACTGGAAGTTATAGTTAATTGTTGTATTTTCCAGAACAGGGTTGTTTGGTGGGAACAGTGGGGAAAAAATATGCAAGCAACTGCCAAAAAAACAAGCTTGTGAGGTGAAACTTGAATTTGCTCTCACGAGAACTTTCTAAGATTCATAAGTAACTGAGAAAAGCATGTTGTATTTAAATCTCTGGAGATACATTGTGCTGTATAGAGACAGAGCACAGCACACAGTGTTGGCAGGAGAAGGAAAGGAGAACAGAAAGTGCACCAGAAAGAGTGATAGGAAGGTGAGACTCAGACAGGGTGAAAGGGGGATAAAATGTCTACTGCCACTTTAAATTGGCTTTTTGTTTTGTTTAGTGACTCCCTGAGTAAATTTGAGGATAAAATGTCTACTACCACTTTAAATTGGCTTTTTGTTTTGTTTAGTGGCTCCCTGAGTAAATTTGAAGCACCTAATCTTTCCCTCACTCCCACAGAACAGGTTTTCATGTGCTTTTTAAACAAAGAAAGCAAACCATGTCCCTGTTACAAATCTGTAGAATAGAAGATGGATAAATTAGCTGGGCATGTTTTGTAAGCCCTGTAGGCCACATCTGATGTGATATATGCATACCTAAAAGCAGTGTCTGAAGAGGGGCTTAAACAAAGTGTCCAAGTGGGTTCTGCCTATAGTTAGAGCAGTGGGAAAGGTGGGGTGGGAAGTGCCCCTGGGCAGACTGGGGACAGGCAGGAGGAAGGTCTGGGGGCAGGAGGCCTCGCTGGGCAGGTGCCTCCTGGCCTGGCAGTGACCATCCCTCCCAGGTGAGCATTCCCCTGCTCTGGCACTGCCTCTGACCCATGGAATCTGCCACAGGGGCTGCACTCTGGGAAAACAGCTTGCTAGTCAGCCTGTTCTTCCAGCACAAGGCTATAAAACATTGTAGGTCATAACAGGCAGCTATTTATTTCTTAATATGTCCTTAGGTGCCGCAGGGGATATTTTATTTTTTTTTTAATAAAAATAAAAATAGCACTGGAATGCATTTATTAGGGATTGACTGTATTTATTTTGAACCACAATACATTCATCCAGATCCACAGACAAAGCTCCAAGAAAGTACAGTTTCCACTATACTCTGAGCTCAATTCTCTGATCACTTATCTTTGCCTGTATTGCCACCTGTTGTGAATAGTTCCACTGGCTTCTGTGAAACAACAAGCAGTAGCCAACTTTTACCCCAGTACTATTTGCAGGATCACTCTCCAAATTACTGCAGTACTAAGTTTAGCTCCAAGGAATAAACACATCACCCCCAGAAAGAACAAATCCAGAACGAAAGTTCAGCAACGCTCTGAAATTAATTTCTTTCAACAATGAAACCATTGAGGCTGATTACTATGAATTCATTAACCAACATGTCTTTCAGCTGGAAAAGCTTTTTCTTGTTGCCAACTGTACTATATTTATTTAACATGTGTGACCACTGAATATCAGTTGATATTAGAAAATTGCATCATTCATGCAAAGTCAAAATACTTTTTTTGTTCTTTTTATAAAACAGATAATTTCTAAGTTAGTTTGTGGAATGAGGTGATTATTATTGTTCCCATTACATTATGGTAATACTGGACATGGTTCTGTAGTTAAGACTAAGGGAGGGGACAGGTGTTCCAAAAGCAGGAATTCATTCTTATACTTAGAAATTTAAATTATGTCCCATCTGAGACACATCTACAATGCCTTGTTCCTAAATGAAATTCTGGCTTTTGTGAAGCCAGTATGAATTGTGGAATTAGTACAAGGTGTTCTCAAAGAATTTACAAAAATATTGAAGTATTAATTGAAGTTTAAAAATAAATTCTTTAAGCAAACATAGATTCAACAAAAACCTGTTAAGAGCACATTTAAGATGTTGTTATGCTATCACACTAGTGTGTCACTGCTTATGAGTGCCACGTTAATAACTTCAGACAAGTAAGTATCACTTATACAGAAATTCTGTGCATAGGAATGGCATAAGCAGGAGAAACAAGATTTCCTGTTGATTTACAGGCAGTACCTGTTGTGATCAAAAGAATTTTGAGAAAATGTACTACTTTATGTATCTTGGCCAATGCATAGGCACACAGCAAGTGTGGGCTAGTCACTCAGTAGGTTGTATAAATAAACCATCCTTTTCACATTCCTGACCTGTATTCTGCTTTTACCCATGTTTTCCATGATGTATTAAAGGAAGAAATATCATGAGGGATATGGAGCCCACCGACTGTGCAAAATTCTGACACAACAAGTCATAAACTCTTCCCACCATTCTGGAAAAAAGTCGGTTATTTCTGGTTAATAAGCTGCCTATTTTTATTTTCTGTACAGCTATTTCATGCTAGATGTTGGCATCAGAGGAAGAGTAAGCACCTTTCTGACCTGGGAGCAGCCTTCAGACTGTTTCTGCCTCCAGAAGAGCTCTCCAAACTTAAATGATTGGCAACCACCTTGGAGTGTCCTGTCTCAGGTATCACCAAGGGGTGAGAGACAGCTCTCACTGCAGGTGGGAGGGCAAAAGAGGGATCAATCTGCTATTGCTTTTACACCCCATCTTGTTTTATGTAGTGCAATTTATCAAAATGCAGGACAGATGATGTAGTTTGTCTGTGCTGCCAAGAAAACGTCTACAATTAGGTCTAATTTTCACATTGTACTCTTGATTCTTCTCTGCTCAGATTGAGGACTGTTTCTGTAAACCCTGTCTTGTTGCTGAGACTCCTGAGCCAGCGATACAATGATACAATCAGACGTGGATGGTACAGCTACAGCGGAGTTTAACCCACAGCAGAGCAACTCTGAATCGAAGGAGCATTTTGCACTGGCTTGATATGTCTCTGAGCAACGTGAGTTCATTGCTGTTATGTAAGTTTTCTTAAAAACATGATTAAAATTAGAATTATACTCCCTCAAGTGTACTGCAATATCTGACTCCAAGCTGCATCAAGCAAAGCTTTGCTTGAGCTGCTGTTTCTGTCCCTTTGTTGCCGTGCATTTGATGTGGTGTCCCAGGGAGCTGGGCAGAGACATGCAGTGACACAGGCCTGATCTGCCCAAATGCTGAGGCAGGTTCTGACCACAGTATTTCTAGACCTCTTCAGTGGATACCTCACCAAAGGGCACAGGCTATTTGTGGCAACACAAAGGGTTCCTCGCTTCAGAAGTGAAATCAGGAATGCTGTGTGGAATTTTAGGGAGCAAGGTTGTAGAAATCCAAAGGCAAGAGCACCCTGGAAATGAGTGCATTGAGCTAGTACCCTGAAGTTTTGCCATGAAAATAGCTCAGGAGCATTGCTGAATAGGATGTCTGTTTATTCATGATCACCACCACCAACCAGGTATAGATGTATACATATTAGAAATGAACTTTGATTTAATTGAATACATTCAATTCAAAGGATTAAGCAGAAATAATTTCATTTTCAAGGCTGGATATTTAGGAAGTGGTGTATGTCCAACCACTTCTACTTAGCAAGAGAGAACCTACACTTCAGAACTCTAATGTGGATCTGGCCCTCTCTGGGGAATTCAGATCTAGGACTGGGTCTGAGACAAGTTTCTATTTTTAATTACTTCTACCAAATTAAAAATTACTCCCACAATGCAGACCAAATCCCCTCATGTAAATCATCAGCAGCAGGACTCTTTAAAGCTTATACAGATGTGGGCCTTGTGCTGACCTCTGCCCAGAGTAAGCCTCTCTTGCTGGGCCATCTCCACAGGAATGAATTTTATCCAGAAAGCACAGCGGAAGAGGTTCAGATTAATATTCTATGCTAGGCTTTTAATATTGGGTAGCATAAAGGTCAAGTAAATAGTCTAAAAATAACTGAACATTACTGCTATGAAGAAGTTACATCTTTGTCTCTTTGGTGTTCATCTTGTAACACACAGATTTTGTGATCGTATTCTGAGTTACTGAACTTCATCACTGCTGAGCTGATTCCTTGCTGTTCAATGATGGGTCCATAAAAATTTACTAAGTTATCCAAACCTGTTTCAATTGACATTTAGGCAATTTGGGTATTGTTTTTAATGTTCAGGCAAGCCATTCTTAAGAAGTGAGCAATGCCCTTGCACATTAATTCAGCACTGAATCAATTAACTAGCAATGCATGCAGTTTTGTATCAATATCTCATCTATTTTCAGTTAATTAGGTAACATGATTAGGATCATATGTGTTGAATTAACAGGTCAGTGCATCATTTCACTACAATTGCATCTAGGAGATAATTTGATCTGAAAGCCATATGAGAAGAACAACAATTTACCCTTCTCATACCCAGGTTCCCAGTTTTGAATGTGATCAGCCCAATGTTTCAGGGAAAGAGTTCAGTTTTGAGTTCTGTGTAGAATTTGTGCTTTGAAAGGTAAATTTCTAATGGAGGCATACAGGTTTTATAAAATGGTCCAACCATTTGCACAAAAACTGCACAACAAAATGACAGAGAACATTCTTCAGTTCTTACTCCATATTAGTCAGTTCATATTTGTCACGCACTTCGTTTTCTCCTCCTGACTGAGGATCTGAGTGATGCATTTCAATAAAAATAATGTAGGTCATTGCTCCAATTACAGCTCCCAGCAGAGGTGCAACTATAGGGACCCACCACCAATTATTACCAGCCCTGTAAGACAAAAAAGAACATGAATAACTATTATTTGCTACTCAAGTGAACACCTTACTGTATATTTGTCAGTGAACAGATACAGTGGTGTGACATTCACTGCAGCATAGACCTTTCTATTTTGTCTCACATTTCTGTAAATGGATGACACCCCTGTTTGCCCTGCCCAGGCTGTGACTGGAATGCTAAGTAACAAGCACCAGGCACATTGATTTGGTTGCACCTTAGAAAATAAGGCCTTTTTACTGCATGTCTGTTTGGGGACAGAGGATAATTTCTCTGTTGTGGAAAGTGGGCTTCATTGACTTACAATGAAATGAACAGGGACATATTTATTGCCCAGCAGTCTTGACTAGTGCTGTCACCAGATGCTTGTAAATTGGTTGTCAGGAGTAATCAAGGCAAATGTATGTTACAAAAATGGGTTATCTCATGCACATGGAAAGTTGCAGGTTCACACCGGTAATAGTATATATGGTGTTCCTCTTGATATGTGTAGGAGATCATACTTGATTTTGATTATATTTCCCTTAGGGACTGTAATAAAACACAGAGACTATAAAGTGGATTATCTTTGACTGGAGCGGTCCAGATTCAAATTTCATGATGTAGTATATTATCTCTGTGTTTAAAATGTGACATCTTTCAGTAAGAGGCAAATAGACATTCAGAAGTTCTATATGCCTAAAAATCTTGCTTAGAATTGCTGTATTCACTAAGAGAATCTGGCAAGTTGGCTCCACTGAAATGTTTACAATCACTTTGCATAATTACTATGATTTAATTTTAAATATGTAGATTTATGAACATTTTTTAAAGTAAGTAGTCCACCTGTATCAAACTATAAATAACAACTTCTTATGCTTGAAAATAAGGCTCATAGAATTGCTCTCCCTTTCCTGGAGGTGCACATTCAGACAGTAAATAACTGAGTACTGGGTTCAGAGCAGACTCTCTAAACTGTTTTGATGCATTAAGGTGCTTTGATGGGATAACATGCTGTATTAATTGAATATGTGAGTCTCCAGTGAAAATCCAGCTACCTCAATTTCATGCATATTGAAAATGGAGATTTTTTTCCTCCCAGAAATACAAAGGGACAAATTAATCTGTGAGAAGAACTTTACAGGAAGGTGCAGGGGAATTTTTAAGCTGTAAGGATAATTATTCACCGCTCAGTTGTATAGTTTTTAGCAGAAGTGAACTTCTGGTTAAGTCACAATGCAAGAATAGAGCTGTTCAAGTATCAGTGCCCTATTGATGATACTGTTATTCCTTGTTCAGAAATGCCTTGGATGTGTCTGTTTTACCTTTGGAATTATTTATATTTTGCCCTGAGGATATAAAATAACTCCTGATATTGTTCTATTGACTTTATAAATCTGTTTGTTGTTGCATCACAAATTTCTCTTACGCCCTTGAATTTCTGGAACAAGCATGGACTAAGGTTTTATTGACTTAATCAGCACATCAAAATCTACATCAAGTACTTGCTTGTATTATTCTCTGTGAAGTGTGTGTACATGGGCATGGAAAAAAGGTGTTTCTTGGCAGGTGTCTCTCTTGGCTTGTTCCACGAACTGGCATGTGCCTCATCAGCTCCTACATGACCTTCTCCAAATCATGGCCTGTATTCACAGCAGCTGCTGTCAGCTGTGCTTTAGACACCCTCTGTTAAGGTTCTGGGTGTAAAACCTTTATAGAAGGTGCTGCCAAAACTGAAACAAGATCGGGGCACAGCCAAGTTAGGAGTTTCTATGACAGTCCTGTCAGCACAGGAGCAAGAACTCTCTGTGACAAGCCCAAATAGCTTCACTGAAGGACCCTTAGTGCCCTTATACCCTGGCTTTACCCCAGTGGTAGGAAAACACCCAGCTCTGCCTCTGTTATCATCGGGTGTTCTTGGTGCTGGGTGGGGTGGGAGGCGCGGTCTGTGAGAGGAGGAGGCAGCACACGGACCTGTCCAGCGGCACTTTGCCTAACCGTGAAAATTTCCAGGAAATACAGTGTATAACCTACATGAACTGGGGACTTTGGCCCATTTTAGACTTGCAGATACTCTTCTCGCTGGCCAGCTGCTGCAGGACAGGGAACACCGGGATAATCCGGGCTGCAGGGCTGCACTCCAGGAAGAGCGCTCAGCATTTCGGAGGCCGCTTTGCCCCCCGAGCCCCTGTGCAGACGAGATGCGCCTCCTGACTGCACCTTTTCCAAAGAGCAGTTCGGTTTAGCCCGGGAGACTCGTCCTGGGTTCTGGCGACCACGAGGTGTCAGCGTTACCGCGCCGAGCCCGCACCGCCGCCGCTCCTCGCGGCCAGACCCCGCCGCAGCCACGGGCAGGAGAACCCAAAACTAACCGGGGTGGAGTATCCCAGTGATACCTTCAAATGGTGACACGAAATACTGCTCTGTGCAGCTGTTTCTCTCTCCGTCGTTGCTGTTTCATGCTCTGTTTTGCTTGTGAAAATAGAGCCTGGTAATTGTACTTAAAAATCTGGCTGTTTTCTCACTACAGACAAAACTTTGCTCCCCAAAACTTTTCTTAAGCTTATCAGAATATTAAACATGTGCTTAAGAAAGACTGGTTGTCGCCATGGTTTTAGGACTAGTCATTAGCAACACCGAGGTCTCTAAAGTCAGCTGTTGTCCCCTGTGATGGGGACAGTCAACATCTGTGACACCTCCTCCCAAGAGGCTGAGCAGCAGTTTGCAAGAGGAGGCCCAGTGCTGACTGCATTTATTGTGTACAAAATGGTGCTCTCGAGGGTGCTGCACTGACACCGCCTTTCCAGCTGCAGTGGAACAGAACAGCTTCTAGTGGGAGCTTTTAGCCAAAACAAACCCATTGTTATGGGCTAGGGAAACCACAATGCAGCTTGTGTCCTCTGGCTTAATTTTTGGGGAAGCTGCTCTTTCAGGTGTCTTTGTGCAGAATGTAATAACAGCAACATTTAGAAAACCTCTGCTTAACTGCCTTCTTATTCTCTGGACAACTCCATGGTCCAACAGAAGAGCTCCCCTCTACTTGCAGTTCACTGCCTGAATACATGATAAAACCAGAATTTACTGGACCTGCAAGCACAAAGAAGGGTAGAGGGGATGAACTAATTGTCTCGACGTTTAGAGCACTTGCTTGAGAACAGTGTAGAAAGTCTTGCTCCTGGGTACCTGATCTGTTCCCAAGTGAAGCTTTCTTAGTGGTCCCTGCCTGCTCTGTAGACAACATTTGAACACTCATTGACTTGGGCAGAGAGTGACTCATCTTGTGAGATGCTTCCTCAAATGTGGAATGTCTCCTCAAGTATTTTCTACTGCTCAGTTTGTGCAGCACTTCCCTCCTGTCACTGTGGAGGTTTCATGCTTAGGTCCCAGATCCTGGGCATACCTTTACTTAAGCACCTGTCTCAAGGTTGTGAATTCCAGTTAAATGGAGACATCCAAGGTTTAGCTGTCAACTGTTGCTGCACTGCTTAAGTTGCTCATGTACATGTAACTCCAGCAGAGCATCAGGCAGTTCAGGATCCTAACTACAATCATTCAGGGCTCTCCCATGGTTCTTCCAGCTACCTAACAGGGCTCAAATTCTTCCTAGGTCCCACCAGGATATGTGCTCTAAAAAGATAAGAACATTCCCTTGAAATTATCATTCCTTTGGTTATAACTGTAGCCTTTTAACCGAAGGCAGGCAAGAAGACTTTTTCCTCAATTTATAAAGCCCAGTTTATTCTGGCAATGACCAGAGATCTTGTATCTCATTTTGTTTATTCACATTTTAAAATTTCTTAGCAAGGTCTTCACAGTGGGATTGCAAATCTGTGTACAACTCCTAAAGCTACAGTAGGGAGGAGCCCATACTGGTACAGATGTAGAGTTTTCTTGTAGCTTCCTTGATGTAAATGTGTAAGATCTTAGCTTTGGAGGGGAGGGGAGTTCACAGGTATTCTGTGACTAGATCACAGTACTTCCAAACTTCCAAACCTTTTCAGTAACGTAATAACCAACTTCATAATGTGTTACAGATTATAGCACATGATACCGTGGTTAATACCACAGTCAACAACTACTTGTAATTACAAAGATATGAGAGGGGAGAATCTGAAGTGTGGGATGTCACTCTGTGTGCCCCTGTTTTTAAAAACAGTGCCGTCTAATGGTGCTGCTGGGGAGGAGAAGTTTGGAGGTAACTGGGCTAGTGACCTGACCTCCTGCCAGAGGCTCACCAGATCTGTCTTACATCCCAGCCTTGGCTCTGGCTTAAGGTGTGACTGTATGCCTGTTTCATCTATGCCATACCTGGCTATTTTTGTATGAGAAAAGCTTTGCTAGTGCTCTCTCCAAGTAGGCACAGGATTGGTGTAGATAGAAATCATAATAAATGCAAGTTATTTGTGCATGGTGAAGTAGCTAAAATAAAATCTCTATTAACCAGAGCTCTCTAGTGGCCGACAGTACTTCTGGGGATTCCTACTCGTAAATAACTGGAAAACCAAACCAAACAAAAATAACCTAAATTTTGTGATGACAGATTACTCTTACTTAGATACCCCAGAGTGCTTCTTGCACTGGATGTGTGTAAGCTGTGGATTTGCTGTGAGACTAATTAGCTGTGCCTTTGGCCAGCCAAGAGCGTGTGTGTGTGTGCACAGCCATGCACGGGGATTTGAGAGCGTGCCCTGAAATGTGGGAACATGAAGGGAACTTTCTTTCATTCACTCCTTCACTCCCAGGCAGGAAGTCAGGCTTTTAGATTGTTGTGTATTTCTGCAATAACTCAGTAGTAGTAATGGGCTAAATCAATCTAATACCTCTGTGTTTCTTACAGCACCCAATAAATATTTCCACCTAACTCTCTTCTGATTTCATTTTTTTTTCTGAAAGCTGCAGAACATGAGAAGAAAGAACTCCTGTTTTCAGTGACCTCTAAGAATCTCTAATATTTTGGGAAGGTTCTGCTTGAAACAATGATTGATATTAGAGATAATGCATGTTTGATTTGCCCTGGGAGCAGGAAATCCTTTTTAAAGCCCAGTTCCTCGAGGATATCTGGCTTAAAGTGCATGAATCGCTGCTTCTGGTATGTAAAGAATTACCTGTATGTATATAAAGTATGGCTTGGTACCATGTTGAATCAGGATCTTACTTTCCTAGAAACAATTTTAGCCAAGAGCATTTTACCTCATATCCAGGCATACTTACGTGAACACTTCCATCCCCCACCCTGCAACGGCGGTGAAGAGCCTTGGGCCCAGATCCCTGGCCGGGTTCATGGCACAGCCACTGTTCATCCCCAAGGAGCAAGTAAGAACAATTATGAGAAGTCCTACTGCAATTGGCTCCAGGCCCTTCGGGACGCTGTTATTTCTAGTGTCAAAAATAGCAAATACAGCCACAAGAAGAACAGCTGTTGACATCACCTGGCCAAGGCAAAGAAAAGGATATTAAGCAAATATGTGCAGATTCTTTCCAATAATGAAAAGAGGGGCTATGGTAGTTCTGTGGATTGGGGTGGCTTAGAGCTGGTATTTAGGTTTATCCCACTATACAGAGTAGAAAAATTTGGAAATCAGTGCCTCTCTACTTCACAGCAATGAGATGTTTTGATCTCTGTGCTGAAAGAAAAAGACAAGAAGTGTGCTGAAGACACTTAAAAAAAGTAATCTGCAACACCCTGGTGTGGAAAGAACTGAGGATTTAAAAAGCATCTCCTGTGTGATGCTTTGTTTCCATATTTTTTTCCTATCAATTTAACAGTTCTATTCACTCAATTTTTGGTAGTTCTGCTATTCCAATGCAATCAGTTATGCTGATATAGAAGTGTTTCACATACCTGTAGTTCTTGCTGATAAATTAGACTAAATATGCACCTTTCTATCCAGGTATTGCATAACATCAGAAGAAAAAGGGAAATCTACAAAGCCAAAACTGATCAGCTAAAAATTAGGGATTACCCAAATTAATGTTGCATGGATAACTGTAACGTGAACTCTGTATTGCAAATGCTAATTGAGCTGATGAAGGAAATTTTCTTAGAATTGCTTCCATGGAAATGCAGTTCTACTTAAATTAAATGCTTTGTAAATGTTGATTTTGCTAATAATTAACTCGATGGGAAAACAGACAGAAGCTTCAGTGATGTCAAAACATTCAATTTCTATACTGATTTAAAGAAGTTCACGTTTGGGGCTTTTAAAAATTAGTTTTTTACATATTTTTTCAAGTTTGTTTTAGAACATTCATGGGTAAAAACATCTTAGGAAAAAATCTGTTGACTGATCCAAAGATCAGAACTGTCTTTCTTACAAAACTTCAAAAGACTGTTTGGATTTTTTTGAAGCCAGATTGCACAATCTTTTACATAAGGAATCCTGTGCTCAGGCAATCCCTAGTTTTTCATGCCTTACTTTTGCAGTATTTATTTCGTGCATGACTGAAGAATATGGGTAAATAGTTTAGAAGTAGATAAAAGATATGCAACTTCATTTTTTCACTGTTGCATAAGTAAGATTAGAGGATAGACAGCAAATACTACAAATCTATCTGCAAAGAGAAGATTGAAGAGGAGGCTTGTGGAAGCAGGAAACTCAGTCGTTCAGGGTGTGTTAAACTGTTTGCTTAAGCTTTACTTAAGGAATAATAGGTCCACAAAATGGGCTGGATTTTGATGTAATGGACATGACTCTGCTGGGGTTTATGGAGAAACATTGATTTATGCTGAGGATAACCTCTTACACATATTGCACTGAAGATAGGTAGAGTGCAACAATTAAGATGATGAAAACAACAATTAAGATGATGTGAAAAGAACAACCTGAAATTGTCTTGCTTGTAAAATATTACTAAAAGGTAACCCCCCCACGAAGAGCATTGCATTCTCATTGTATTTTACACAGGGACATATGACCAAAACAGTAAGATTCACAATGCTCCTTACATCTATGTATTTTTTTACTGCTTGGTCTTGCAGATTTTAGTACATTTAATTTGCAGAATTAAGACAGCAAGTGCACTTACCTGATCTGCAAATCCATTCATGAGGGACAGATATGGAGCTGGGTATGTTGCAAAGATATGTGCTGTTGCATTAGGTCCCGTGACTTCAAGTTTCCCATCGCTGTAATCCATAAAGGCATCTGTAGAAAACAGCCAGTAACTGCCTGCACTTCTCCATAGACACCGGGTTTTCCAGGACTAGAATGTTTGGGATAGGTCTGTGCACTTCTCATTCTCAGCTGTAACTGATTTTTAAGGTCCCTTCCAACCCAAACCATCCTGTGATTCTTCTGTGCTCTCTTTTTCTTGGAGCACAGTTAATTTGAGTACAGATTTGGGGTGATGTACTTATCCTACCCTCCTGTCTCATCTCTCCTCCTGTACCATGAAGTATTCACTTTATAAATGACAATTTTCAATATAGGGCTGGCTTTCCTCTGCCCACTGCTCCAAACTCAGTGCCAAGGAGCATTTTCTGATTCTGAATACAGTTGCATTATTCTGTAAGAGTTGCTACACTTGGTAAGATGCCCCAAGCAGTGTCCCAGCTGTGCAGTTGTGGATACTCAGCCACCAGGAATTATTGTTATTCCATCTGACAGTTGTGCAATTTTAGAAATAAGTATTTAGAAATAAGAGGACACTGAGATGAAGCACTCAAATCTCCATAGACAGACATGGAAAACAAACTCTAATCCATTATTTTATTAGTGGATCCAGTGATGAGATGATACTTGCAAGCAAAGAAACAGCTCCCTGTCTCCTGAAGCTAACAGAAAAATCTAATTCTCCTTGCTCCTGTGTTTTTTCTGGTTTTGCTTAAGGCACAACATGGATGCAGAGAATATTTAGTTGTTTACTTCGATCAGGCTCTCATTTGTAGTGTTGGATTATTTTTTTGCACTTAACTATTAGGAAAAAAATAAAAGGATGAGCTCCACTGTCTGTTTTTAAACTATAGAGTTTTCACTGGACCTTAATGAGTACGAGACAATCCTGCTTGTTGCAGGAAGGAAAAAGTACAGAAGAGGTTTAAGATTTAATAATAACAAGAGGAGGGCAAAGTACTTGAGCAGAGATAGGGAGATGAGAAAATCCCGCACTCCTGGACATCAGGAAGATGCCTCCAACCCTAACCCCAGCCCTATGTTCCCTATTTTGACTCCCTACCCTACTGCTGCCCTTTTAGCAGAATAGTGGTTCCACCTCCAACCCCTTATCATATTGACACACTGCTGCATCCTGGCCACAGATGTAATTCTGCTGTCAGACTTGAGGACAACTCAAACTGAGATGGAAATCCTGTTCTGCAATCCCACAGTTTCCAAATTCTAACACTAACCTTAAAAACAAAAAAAAGCCACCAGACCCAAAACAATTATGATGGTTCCTAAAGATTTTTCTCCTCAGGGTTACTGTGGGTACTGAGCCCTGAGCTGACAAATAATGGTCATTTCCATTTGTATTTTCCCTCTATTGCACCTTGACCCAGCACCGTCTGCAGACATTATACCCATAGGAGAGAGACTTTGGAGGAGACAGGCTGGGCCAGTAGAAGCAAAGTTTTGGAGTGGGGGATTGGATAACTGATCTGACTGAATGGATTCATCCAGTCAGTCAGTCTGTTACTAAGTTTTTTCCTTTTGTGGCATGCTGTGGGAAAAAAAACATGCCTGAAGGATAATGGTAATCTTTTTTCTTTACCCTCTCTAATATGTGACCTCTTTATCACTCTACCTGCAGTTCATTGCCTTGGAGAGCCATCTCTCTAGGGTGGTCTGAAGTTTGGTCAGGAGGGACTTGATCTCATATCCTGTACCCTCAATGAACGATGTTGGTGATATTTGCCTACAGGCACTTGTAGCAGGTCTTTAATGTTTCTAATTTGCTTGGAAGATGGATAGCCCTGTATCCTGGCTATTAAGTAATTTAAAATCCTCACTGAGAAATACATGATCTCAGAGTATCTGATTTCCCATGAATAATTTTTCTAAATATCAGAACATTTCCTGGAGCATTAGTGTTTCAGTAAATCTGTAGGATACTTGGAATGTTCAAGCCATTGTTTTTCCCTTCAAACTCTTTATGCTTCTCCCTTTCTCCTTTATGATTTTAGCTTCAGTCCTGCCATTAGCCCTGTCTGAACAAGAGTCCTCTTCCTGCTTGACATTCATTGAGAAATTGGGGCCTTAGAGACTGCCTGACCTCTAGTTTGTCCTGTGAACATGTCTAAGGTGTACTCACCATAATAAATCCCAAAGACAGCCGCTGCTCCAACAAATGCTCCCAGGAGTTGTGCTAATATGTAAATTGGTAATTTGGTCCATTTTAATCTTCCAGTCACGCACATGGCTAATGAAACAGCTGGGTTTATGTGACCACCTGAAAAATAAATCACAAAATAAGTCACGTCAATGAATCAGATACATGAGAATAGGTGAAGGATTTGTAAAAATGCGGGCACGTTTGAGCACAAGACTAGTACATGCTTTTCTACACGTTATTCTGCACTTAAATGTTGACTGGAATTAAACTGAAACAAGCTGGATGAAATTAGAGGAGGGAGGGCTAAAGCCACCAAGCTCCATCTTCGTTCTTGGTGTTTGTGGACTGTAGTGTTTATCAAACTGCTGTCCTGCAGTCTGTAATCTATAGATCTACAGACAACTTTTCTAGAAAAACCTAAATCTGCCCTATCAGTTGTGAGGGGAGGGTCCCACATTCTGAACATATTCTCTCTCCTTGAGGCCTTTGGCTTTGTACTTTTAGGGTAGAATTGGGGCAGCAGAGCATTAATTCTGTTTCACGAGAATGTATTACAATTAAGGACTGTCACTGGCTTGATCACGTATCTTGAGGCAGATCTGGAGTACCCTGGATTTAAGTCATGTTTATGACCCTGTCTTCAACCTGGGGTTACTTAGGAACTCAGTTTTCAAGAAGACAAAATAAAATTATGTTAGGGCTGTCCAGCTTCATGCTGGCTGTTGGGGAGCTATGCCTACATGGGATCTGGGGACAGCAGTGCATAGTTCTTCATCACAGGCTTTCATCAAGTCCACAATAAGGGAACTGATAAAGTAGCTGTGCTGAAACAGAGTTCTGTTTCCTGTGAAACTTCCTTCCTTTTTATTCAGGAGTAGCTCCATCTGATCTCATACATAAAAAGGATGTAACAATGGAATTCCTTGTGATAATTTTAGTTTTTAAAATATATTTATTATGTCACATGATATTTGCTTCCCTCAAAACTTTTTATCTACATGGGACAAAAGTGTTGGGTGCTTTTGGAAAACTTCATTGTTTACAAATATGTAGTTGTTCTTTAAGAAATACAAATTGGCAAATAAATAAACAGATGAAAAAGCACTCCACAGTAAAAATACTGCAAGGACATAGGATCCATTGCTTATCTTCCAGGTAAAGTCTCATTTCAGTCTGGATGGATATCAGAAAAAATGGCCCTTTTCTTTGGTAAAAAACCTGAGAGAGCATGTCCTTTATCTGTCAAAGGTTAGTGATGGAGAAAGGGCCTCTATGTACAGTTTCTGTGTTTGTTTGCACTTCAGGTCAGTGAGTCATTATCTTATGAAATCCAGGCACCTTTGATACATAATGAACTGACAAACACAGATAACAAGTTGGATAAAACCTTCTTTGTACCATTTCCAAAACTCTGACCTAGCAGCACCAGTCTTGAATTAATTTTGAATTCCTCACTGTGTTTCAAATTCTTCAGCAGGGAGAAAATAGATAGATGGCACCTTGTTTAACAGCCCTTCATGTGAATTTTGATTAATTGTTGTCTTGTCTTTTGTTCCTTACTCAGGCTGGAATGAATAATTTTTGTTTCTTTCAACACCTGATATTGTTCCCCACCTGTATATAATACAGGGTGATTATGATGGCCAGGACAAGTCAAAATAATATTAGTGATGGCTGATTAACATGAAATCTGGAAAGGAAAAGTCTAGTTGAAGGCTCTCATGCTGACACACGGGAGTTAAAAGATTTCTTGGTTCTTGTACCACTGCTAGTGTCCTGGTTAAAAAAAAAAAAAAAGTCCACTTTGGACAGTGTGTTCCCCATTCTTTTGTAGTTGCAGTGATCACAGTCGTGGGTTTGAAATGTTACATTGGAAAAAATAGTGGGAAATTATCTAGATATTGAGGAAAATTAGATGGAGAAAAATAAAAAGAGGAATTTTCCTAAGTAAAAAAGCTAAAATTCACCAAGCATGCAGACTGTACTTTTTGTTACCATGAATTTAGAATTTCGTAAAGAACTGATGCAAAATATTTTAGCAGTACTTAAACATGAGACTTCATGGCCAAAGAGCCACAGAAATTGCTAACAAATTCTATATGAGGAACTGGTATTCTGAAGTGTTCACATAGTGATCATATGTTGGATAACTACAGCCTGTTGAAATATCTGTTCCTCTTCCTTCACAGAGAAAATGCACTGTGTGCAGAATCCTTTGTCATGGGAGAAACACAGGAAGCACAATACTGCAACATCTGCAACTGCTCTGCCCTGCTGGGATTGAACTCTAATTTTCTACATAATAACGGAGATGAATATCCCGTAAAGATGCAAATGTAGGACAGGTCTTCACAGGTTTGTTTTCATGCTACTGCATTAGAAGAGTTTCCCTGCCTATATGTAAACCAAGAGCTGTAGTTTAAAGTTGTTCAGATAAAAAGATTGTGCTGCTGAATTAACTTGGTGTGGTATTAAGGCACAGCTCTGCTCTGTTTCAATGACAGTTATAAGACTGCCTATTTTGTAGAACCTTGAGCACTTTCTAATGTGAACTTGGAAACCTCCTGATGCCTCTGTAAAAGTATTTGTAAAAGAGAAGAGAAATAGCCCCAGTAATGTCTGCTACAGCAACTGTTTATAATGGCCTAGTTATACCTACAGAAAGTTGTCTGGAACAACTTTATCCTCTTTATGAAGGGTAAGAAATGCCTCTATGAGAACTGGAGCACAAGGGTACCATTTTCTTTAAGAGGTCAGTATAAAGTCTGCATAGAACATGAAGTATTGTGTATTATAATGCACAACACTGTTTATTGTTACAGCCCATCATTTTCTATTAAAGGGAGAATTTAAATGTTAAGAGCAGTTGTGCTAACGTTTCTGATATTAGTTTGGCCAAACTCAATGATGGTAATAGGAGGAGAAGCAGCATCCCATATGGCACATGTAGACAATGATGAGTTAGCCCAGCCACAGGCAAAAGAGAGATTCCTGACCAATGTTGAGGAAGAGCAGAAACAAAGGCTCAGTGGCATTACATTGACAGTGTATCACTGAATGTGTCTCTAGTACTGAATCTTTTTGCTGTTTCTGCAATAGCAGACTTGCTATTGCCTGTCATTGAACATGAAGAGATGAATTGCACTCTGCAAGGTGAACCCTGCTCATTACACCCATTAGTGGGCCATTCTACCTTCTAGGTAGCTGGCCACCATTTTATCTGGTGACTGCTGGATTGCTTTTCACAGTTAACTCTTAAAACACAGTGCCTGTGCTGTCTGGGATCATCTCTACAGACAGAATTTTCTAAGCAACACCAAGCAGATTTCTGGTTTGCACAGAATACTTTCTGTAAAAGCCAGAGGTCTGCCAAGGTTTGCACACTGTAGTTCAGACAAGAATTTGGTGGAAGATTTCATCAAACACAAAGAATAGAAGGAAACAACAACATAAAGGATTTACTAGCAAAACGCTGATGTGACTCTGCTGTAACAGTGCTTACTGTTGCATTGTTTATACCATGGAATGGAAGTACTTTAACAGGGGAGCCTTAAAACTGTAGCAATAAATGCTGTATGAGAAAACAAGTCACTTACCAGAAACACCCCCAGTCACATACACTGCTACGGTCACTGCCATTGCAAATCCAATGGTTATTGTCATGGGCCCGCCATGGACTCCTCGGCTGAGGACAGCCTGTCCCACACACCCACACCCCAGTGCCTGTGTTTGAAAGAGAAATGTAAAATCACCCTTGTGTCTGCCAAATGTTATTGGTTAGTTTGCAGCTTTTGTCCTGGTACAGCTGAAAACACTGTTGAATATTGAAGCAGTGCTAGAATTTGAGATTAGTGGCATGTGTGCCATTGTTGCCTTTGCTGCAGTGCACATTTGCTTTTTATTTTCCCTGGCTCTGTCACGAGGAAGAATGTCTGCTAATGAGGACTTCTCTCCCCACAGAAAACAGTTTTTAAGTACAATGATGGGATACAGATCAGAACTTGGACCATAAACAAGATCTCACAGCCTCTACAACAAAACTCTGCATCTGAAAGTGAAGAGGGAATTAATTCTGTATGGTAAGTTTTCAGTTACAGATTGTTGTTATAAGCAATGAAGAAATTACTATAAAAGTTATGAAAGATAGTTCAAAAAGCTTTTAGTGTTTATTGCTGAAAATCTGGAATGGGACAACTTTCTGGTGATTACAGTGTTATTGTTATGCTGACTTTGTATCACATATTGCTCTATCAAAATATTTCACTGGCTCTGCAGCTGAAGTGGGGATATCTGAATAATTCACATTGGAGAATTCTAAGTGAATTTAAACTAGCTTCTGTTTTATGTTGGTTCCCTTCAGAATGAAGTTCAGCAACACATTTAAATATTTGCTTAAAAGAATGTTTGTTCAGTTCTAAAGCCTCTGCTTAGCTTCCAGCATATTTTTAGGTCCTAATAAAGTTGATAGGAAAGATATTCAAAGATACAAAAGGCCTTTAGTTTGAGACAGACTAGCTGATCCATTTCTGTGTCTTTGAAAATCTGCTTTTTATATATATGCCTAAGTGCTTTGCTGAACAAGGATGGAAGCTGTATGGAAGCTATCAAATGATGTCTATAGTCTGAAAACTTTTTCTTCTCTGCAGCTGTAAGTGATGTGAATCTTACCATTTCTGGGATGTGACTAGATTTATCTTGAGCAAACTTAATTGCTTATTTTCACTTGCAAGGCAGTCGCATTCAGAACCTGCAAAGTAATGGGAAAATCTCTCCTGCCTTAGGAATAGACTGTACCAAAAAGATTTGGTGATTGAGTTTTAACAAGCAAGTCCTACTAGAAGGGATGCAATTTAAACAGGCAAAAATCATACTTTTGTTTCCATTATTTCCCCAAGGGGTTTTAGCTAACACCAAAATGTGACAGAAAAGCTCTCAGCCTCTTAACCAGCTTTGTAACGCAGACGGCGTTTCTGTTATAAGTGCCCCGAGACTGTGTCATACACCCAGGTGCAGTTCTTGCCTTAAGGTCATAATCATGTAAGCAAACAAAACATTGTCTGGTGCCAAAGTGTTACAGCTCTGGGGTTACGTAAGGGTAGGGTGGTGTTAGATAGCTGCAGTTTATTGGACTGTATAATTGAAAGCTCCATGACACATTGCAGGCTGCAGTCAGACTGCAGTGGATGACACACACTTACGTTAGGAGTGCTCTCGTTGCCCCATCCTATACCCAGCAATGCAAAGGGTAAGCACAGATGCACACACAGATAGCAAACCAGAATTAAATACACTGCAGTTGTTCACAGCTGAAATTATAAGGGTTTTTTAAAACTTCATATGAGACAATTCTATTCATAATGCTTTTATATGTTTAATATGGAGAGAATGGTTATGCTGAAATTCATTAAGTTTGAGTTTAGGGCATGAGTCTAGAGGAGGTGGAATTAGACTTCTCAAAGGGAGCAATCCAGAATTGCCCCAAGCAAGATTTCATGAAAGACATGGCTCAGACGTGGAGCAAGTTCAGTAGGCTGCTCTGGGTCCCTGTGTACATTGGGGTGCAGGTTGTGTTCAGGAAATCAGTTAGATCTGCAAGTGTGCACTTTTGTGCTGAAATGTAGACAAAGTTTTGCAGATTCAAAGAAAAGGCCATTCTTACGAAAATATTACCCCTTTCTGGTCTGGTCAAGGATGATGAAAGAAGAGAACAGGAGCAGAGGAGATGGTTATAGAAAAAATAAGAGACAGCAACAACATCTCTGTATACCAAATACAAATTCTCAAGAGAAGGATGGAAATAACAGAGAGAAGCTGTGGCCTCCCTTCCCTGATTACCAGAACTAAGGAGAATCATACAGAAACAGCTGTGTAATCCTCTGGCATAGTAAGTTCTGCTCTGCATGTCACAGGGAAGCACATAACTACAGATGCTCCCTTTCTGTGCTCACCAGCCTCAGGAGGAGGCAGACAAGCCAGCTGGGACACAGCTGCACTCGGTGCACCTTGGGAAATGACTGCCTGTGCATGTACAGCAAAGGAACCACTGCAGGCACAGCCAGTGTGTGTGCCCATTCAGGGGTGGGAACACTGGGAACTGAACCTGCAAATCTGAACCATGCCACAGTAATAATTTCTCCATTTGCTGACCTTTTTAGAAGGAGAGAAAAAGTTGTCTCACACCTACTGTAGCTAGGTTGGCACAACTGGAAACTATCACCTAATCGTGTAATTACATGAGCAGCAATTTAATACCCTGTGAGTCTTTGCTTGACTGAGTTAAGACCAACTAGATCATCAAGTTGTAACTAAATATTCTAGGGTTTTAGGCCAAGCTCAGGCATCATTTGTGCCCACAAAACTCATTGATTAAACTACATGAAGTTAATGGGAGTTTAATTTATAGTAGAATATAGCCAGATCTCTTTATCTTATCTTGTCTGTCTTATGTTACCAGGTTTTCCTCTTAGCAGTTGTCTGTAGCTTGATTTGCTTAAATTTATTGGAGTAGCTTCAACACTGACTTTTTATGCTTACAAAGTAATTAGATTATTGTTATAAAGAACATGTTTGGGTGTGGAAGAGCTGTCTGCACCTTCTCTGCCAAAAAAACTTGCTTCATAGACATTAGATCCTTTTCTTTCTTTTAGATAGCAAGGCTAATGTTAGGAAAGGAAAACAATTGGCCTCCAATGAGCATAAAGTCCTATTACTGCCTGGAAGCCTGCAGGACTTTCTGCATCCCACTCATTAGACTAAAGACCTGTACTATTTTCAGGATTTTTGCAGATGCTTGTAATACCATTTTTCAGTGAAAATAGGATTTCCTGCAATACGTGAATCCAGAATTTTAGGGAATCTATTTTTCTACATGGAAAGCTTTAGGCATCTTAAAGCAAAATACTTATAAAAAAAAGCCTCCTTCTTATGAGAAGCCCTAGAGGTCATGTGCATTCATAGCCAGACACTCAGACTGTCACATTAAAGAAGCAGCCAAGTCTCCTGCTTTTCAGCAGTGTGGAGACAATGGCATGGGCGTTGTCACACCTTTTACATCAGCAGCTCCAAGCTGTGGTGAGTCACAGACAGGGTACCACAGGTGTCTCTGCAGGCAGACTGTGGCCTCAGTGGCTGCACAGCTGATGATGCTGTGCATGAGTGCACGTGCTACAAGGAATACAGAGTCAGCAGTTGCAAAAAAACCAGTTTTTTTAATTATAAGCTGTACATTTTCATTCAGGAAATGCTAGAAAAATAGTTCAGAATTTTCTGTTTTAGTCAGTTTTCAGGACAGAATCATACTTCAACAACCACAGCTAGTTATGAAGAATCTCCAAGGATCCCTCCACCAATGGAGTGTTTTCTGTAAGGCTGCCTTTGTTCAGGTAAGGCAGTAACCTTTTCCCACGCCACGCTTCCACCCTTGTTCTCCCACTGTTCCTCAGACAGGCATTTCCTGCTAGCCCAGGACTTGTCCTCTCCTGTTTTCCAGACTGGACAGGCCTGCAGTGCTGCTCTGGATTCTGCCATGTGTGCATTTGTTCCTGCCCAGAGCTGTGGAGGGGACAGACTGTCAGGCAGTGCAGTGTTAGGCTCAGGCTGTCCTTGCAGTGAGTGTCCTGCTATCCTAAAGCTGCCCATTCCAAATATGAGGGAGCAGAGTGATATCCTGGGATACCTCAGGACATGAGAGGAAGCCCTGGTATTTCACTTCTTAGGGAAATCCCCATGATTTCTTCAAGCAGCCAGACCTAGCACTGCATATTTAGGCCCTTAAAAGCAGGGATACAGGCTGGAAGAGTCCGAGAATCCTCTGAGGATTGGGAAAAGTGGTTGCATTTGCACTTCCCTGTTGGCAGGGATCTCTTTGATCAAAATTGCCCATGAAAACGGTACAGGGTTGCATGTGGAGTACTGTAGCCTTGTGCAGTTCCCCCTGCCCAACATTTATATTTCTATATAGAATTAGTTACTTATAAAAACAGTAAATAAACCTTTCAGTTTAAGAGGCACTGAGTGCTAAATTGATGGTGTCCTCCTAAAGGTCTTTAATTTGGAGTGTGTTTTAGAACTCACTTTCATTCCCACCTCCTTCCTTTACAAAACAAGTCTGCTTAAGAATTTATCTATTGCATTTCATAATAAGGTGTTTTGTAACACATTAAAAACTCATTCTACACAGAGTCATATTTTTGCTATGTTTCTGTGTTTTGTAGGGTCTTAATTTAGGCATGGCTCCTAAGCATTCTTTCAATAGGGGCAGTAATTCTAACAGCAAAAAAAGCAGGGATCTTTAGAGCTTCTAAAAGTCAGGGCATTAGCTCTGCAAGAATTCAAGTTGCAGGAAACTCCTGTTCTTTCAGGCAAGAACAATCTTCATCTAGTTTAATGTTTAATATTTTCTATCTTTTGTTAAATCAGACAGTACTTAAGCTTTTAAAGGTGAGATAAAAATACAGCTTACCTGTCAAAGTAATTCTTAAATCCTTTAAAAGCACATGGCTCTTATTTTATCATTAATTAAATGTTTGGTGGGGGTGGGAAGGATTTCTGTACATTACAATTTAATCAAGCTTAGAGTAATAAAAAATCACTGTATCTTTTCTCCTGATGATCTCCTGGGACACAACCAATATCCTCTTGGGTTCAGATGGATTTCCCTTTATGTTTTTTTCAGACTTGCCATCTAATAAATAAAGGGTGGAAAAAAACCCACCCTTATCATTTAGTTAATTAAATAGTATAGACATAAGCCTTAAAATTACTGACATTTTGAAACCATTTTCTAGTGACAGAAGGCATTACTACTTGGAGACATGAATGGAAATTTAATAAGTCTTTGGATGAATTGTGTATATAAGGCTTTTAAAACATATAAAGACCAGGTTCAAATTACTTTGTGGGAAAAAATACAGTAAAAATATTGAGGGACAGACTATGCTGTGTTATATAAACTGATGCTTTTAAATTTTTATTATTGCTTTTGCATATGCAATAGGAGACAAATAAAAGTTTGAAATCACCTGGAGAGACTGCAAAGGTCTGCATTTTCTCCTATTTTATTATGATTAATATTGCACTCTTCATCCTGAAATGCTAAATGCTTTTCTTTCCTGAATTATAGAGGGCAACTGGCTTGAGTTAGTTTCTTCAGTGAAGATTATTTTTATTTTCTTACTAATTTTTAGAAACTCAGGAGAGAAAGGAACTGAAATGTGATATTCAGACACTAACTTTAAGGAGTGAAACATTGCCCCTTACATCAGGGCTAGGAAGAAAAGGAAAGAAAATCTTACCTAGTAGCTTCTTGAGGAGAAAAAGAACCTATTCAGGTGCTGCTTCCCTCCCATGTTACATGTTTATTCTTGAGCTGAGATATGTTTCTTTGCTTTCCTTCCTACATCAACTGAAAAGCTTAAAATCTTTCTAACTCTTAAAATGTGTTTAGCCTCTGCATCAGCACTCAGGGAATCACAGCATTCAGGAGGAGTGCAAGAGAGGGCACTGCAGATTCTGAGACAGGAGGTTTTCTGGGCTCTCCTTGGAGTATAAAGGTAAATGTACATTTTCTTTTACTCTTTCCTTTGGGTGCAGGAAAAGAGTGGCTGATCTTTGCTGTGGCCTCCTGGTTGGAGGTGCGTAGTTATGAGGAATTAAAGCCTAAGCTATTTTCTGTTGAAAAGGAAAAAAAAAGGTGAGTGATTTTAATAGTAAAGAAACCTTTTATTTTTTAATAGTAAAAAATAGTAAAGAGTGGGTTAGAGAAACTGAGTCATGTTTGCCTTTAAATCAGATAATGGACTGGAGAGCTCACTAGAATTCACTCTTACCTAGAATGGTTTATTGAACAGTTGAGATCGCAAAGATATAAACTCACTGCATGGCACAAACTACATTTATTATCTTTTATTCAGTTCTCCAACTGTTTATGACAGTTTTAAAAAGTTATTACCTTTATTACCTTTTTTTTTATTTGGTGAAACTTTCAAAAAAACACCCTGTAAATTTGCATCTGTAAAAATGTAAATTTGAGTTTTGCACTCACAGTGGAACGTTGGAAAGATGCAAATATTCTGTAAGACTCAGGGAGAGGGCCTACACTTCAGTCCTACAGTTGCAAACTTTCTGGGAAAAAGTGGATCTACAGAAAAAGGTCTTGGAAAATTAAATTCACCTTGCTGTAAACTCTTGGTTAAACAATGAGAGCTGAGTTATGTGTTGGGGCTGACGTTGCAGAAATGAAGGTAATTTTCTTTCAAAGCTTTCATGCAACATAACATCTGAGTCACCTGAAAGTTTGAAATGTCATATACTGGAAAACTTAAGTTTGGATTGAAAAAAAAAGATTTCCTGTGACTTTTCAGCATTACTTGCTGTAATAAACATTTTGGGGTAAAAGAACAATTAGGTAACCCTCCTTTCAATTTTTTCACACTGCTAACTATTCCGCTGAATTAAAGAATGACTTCAGAAGCAGGAATGTTGTCTAGAAAAAACATTAATTGATTTTGATGATAGTAAAACTATAGAAATAATACCTATGTGCAAGAACCTCCTTAACCTCAGCACAGCTATGAGTCTTCATTACCACTTTGTCTTGTCTGCAATGCTGATTTAATACAGTTGCAAAAAGAGAAAGAGTTTGCACATCTTCACCAGAACCATTAACAAAATTTATTGCCATCAAAATATATGCAGTTATGACATTAGATTAATGAGTGACATCTATTATTTATTGGTTGTACTATAGTATTGCTGCTAGAGACCCTAAGGTGTGGATCTCTGACACAAGAGCTGCTTTCAAAGTGCAGACGTTGCCAAGGCCCATGGCATCATTATGTAATATTTAAAAAGCTGAGTGACATATCAAAATATCAATTATAAATACACTTTAAAAAACCTTTTTGTCTAGCTTTGACAAACTTAAGCTTACTTGTCTAAGAGCTAAAAATACAAGATTCTGTTCTCTGGGAAATTCATTGCTCATGGAAAATAAGGCAGCTCTTGAAGCTACTGATATTTAATTTTATATCTTGACAGTATGCAGAGCAAATCTTGTTTATACTATACGAAGAAAGTGCGTCCCTTTCACAAAAATTTAGAACATGGAGTTTACCTTTGTTTAAATTTTCTAAGAAGTGATTTTGTATTAAATGCTAAAGACTTAAGGGGTAAAGGATCAAAAGCTACGATTGCTTTCATGTAACTACATCATGTAATGAGAATTCTAACACGTGTTTAGAATAAGGGATACATGTTACCATACAGTATTGTAATTAACATGCCCTGGAAAATAGGACCACAAAATGAAAGATACAGAAAAGCTACTTAAATTTTAATCTTCTGGACTGAGCAAATCCATACAATGTCAATCTTGAAGACTTTTCAGGCAAGACTTAACTCTGCAACAAAGTAGGAGTGATACCTTACATAATGAGGTGGACAGAATATGAAAACAAGACAAAAATAATTTGATGATCAAAAGATAAATAGCCCTCCTTCTCATGAGCTGGACTATTTTCAGTGTAGGGTTTTATGAATTCAGTTCTTGCTTGTCCCCTGCATCCTCTGTGCACACACAAACATTTGCTTCAATGGGAGTTGCAAGAGGCTCCCCACCTCCAGCTGGAGACCAGGCTTATAGGAATATATATATGTACAGGAATATGTATTAGGAATACATATACTCCCCACTTGTCTTTATATGCTAAATGGAAGCCTGTGTTCTGTCTCAGCAAAGAAGTAGATGCTGCTCTGGAATCAGGAGATTCTGGCTCCTCTGCAGCTCCTTTCTGAGAAACAATGTTCAGTAAGATGCTCTTGAGAGTGAAAAAGAAATACAAGCTCTGTTAGGTGAGCAGTAGCTGTTAAAGGAAGCCACATGGCCCATTTGGCATCTCTTTCTGGAACTGTTTCAATTCAGATATACTTAATGGTGTATGTCAGAGTAAATCCCATTTTGTTTGAGAGCAATGCAGTCAAGATCCAAAGGGGAAATATGGAGAGAAGCATGACTAAAAGCAGAGAGGCAGTTGGATAGGTGAGTTCCAGACAGACTCTCTGAAAAGTCACATAAACCATCTATCTGATGCAGCATGGCTTCTTGGCTTTTTTGTGCTGGCTTCCAGATGTTGTCCTGCAGAGGAACTCACAGGAGCACCAAGAGGAGGAAATGTACTGACCCAGGGACATGATGGAGAGCAAAAAGCTCTCGAGAGAGCTCTTCCTCAAGGGAGGCCTTGGGGGCAGTCCCAGATACAGAAGGCTGAGGCTGTCTGAGGATGGGAAATGTGGCTCTCAGCCACCACGGTACAAATGGAGGGGAAACTTCCAGGCTCCTCAAGTTCAGTATTCCTCGCTGAACTCTGAGGTTGGAATCAGGTGCTTTGATGAGCTGAGAGAGGGGCTCATGTGGGCTATGTCTGTGTTATCAAGTTGTGCAGTGCAAACACCTGAGAACCTGACTGTGGACCTCCCAGGAGGGATTACTTATTTGGAGCATCTCCAGTCTGATCCACTGGACTGAGCATCCACTAATGGTCAGCACAGTTGCTGTGATTCTGGAGTTCACCTTCCACTTTATTTTCACTTGAAAAGAATTCCATCTACGTGCTCTGGGACCGTGCTGCAAGGCCAAGAGCAGCATGTGAGGTAGGGATGACCAGGAGATGTTATCCAGCTCTGTGCCCAGTGAGTTTCTCAAGGCTTATTGTCTCAAACCTGTACAACACTGCAGGTCACACCCTTCACAGCCTGAGGTGAAGGCTTGGGTTTTGCCTGATGAGTGATTTCACTTTCTAGATTTCCTGTTTGGAAAATAATGTTGCAAGGCTGAGAATTACCAAAGAGGGTTCGTTTAAGTTCATATTAGTATGTGGCCTTTGATGTATTCTCCGGAAAAAGTAGAAATAAGTGATCTGGAGGAATGGAATTTCACACAGGTAACTCCCAGTGTTGCTGGGCTGGTTGCAGATTTAGGTATGGCCAGTTAGCACTGGCCAGTTAGACAGACCCTGTGGGTAACAGAAAGGCTGTCTCAGCCTTACTCCCTGGAACAGGTGCCCCCCACAGGCTGTAAAACCCATCACAGGGAAAAAAAACCAGCTTTCAGCAAAGATCTGAAACAACTGTCCTGTAGGATGTGAACTCTCACCTCACTTTCACTTAGTAACAAGATTAAGACACATCCACCATCCTATTACCATCACTTCTTTTGCATACATGGTTCTGGTTTTTAAGGATTTCTGTCCTCTGGCTTACCAGGGTGCTCCTTTCATCAGCTCCAATTTAAGTGTTTAATATTTATCTGTACTTAAAGTGAAAGAAGTAGATGACTTAAGCTGACAGAGCTTAAAAGCAAAAGCAATAAATAACAGAAAAAACCCCTCAATTTCTTCAGAATAAACACTTTGTACTGCTGTTAACTTGTGCAGTCTGAACACAAATTGAGGTATCCAAGCACAGAGAAAGCTGCAGTTTAATCTATGTGAGGCTCTTCTCTGCTTTAAACCAAGGTTAGAACTAGAAAGGGTAAGATAGAAACGAGAAACTGAGATTATCAACAACAATGTTGTAGCTTCATTTTCTACTGCGTTCATATGGTGAATATACTAGAAAATGGGATCTGGGTTTGTATTTCCTCCTAGTCTTATCCAGCAGGACATTAAATAATAACATTTGCGGTCTAATCTGCACTTTAATACGTTTTCTTCACTTGCTTAATTTCATTAATGGAAAGAGGAGGATGATCTTGTGGCGAGGTCAGAGTACTGGAAGTCAGGTGATGTGGGTTATAGTCAGAGTTCTGCCGCAGGCTTCCTGTGCAGGCTGCTGTAATCAGGTTTGCTAATATACAAAATGAAGATAATGACATTTCCCCTCCTTGCCAGGGTGTTGTGACACTTAATTCATTAATGTTTGTAAAGTGCCCTGTGCTCCTTGCTTCTAAATGTGCTCCTTACTGTAATAATGTCTTATGGATGGTATTAAATTTGAGAATAATATTATTTTAGTGCCTGCACATTTCAGTTGGCTGAAGTGTAGTAAAAACCATTATTTTATGAGCTACTGGAATTTTTTAGATGACTTACTTGAAATTTAGCTAATACAGTTACATTTATAAAACATACTATGTCAGTATTATGCTTGCTTTGGTTTTTTTGTCCTTTTCACTGTGATGAAGTATTTAGCAATAAGCAAGACTGCTTTGTTCAGACTAAAAGGAGAAAGAAAGAGTTTGGCATAAATACTCTCACTGCTTGACTTCTAGCTCTGCTACTGAGCCTGCTCTCTACCCTGGTGAATCACAGGGTAGAGCTCTATGTCCCAGTCCAAAATGCACTGAAAAATTGAGAAAGATAAGAAGTAAAAAAAAATCTGGGGTTATAAAAACAGGGAGTTTTGGTATTTACCTAAATTGTAGCAGTGCTACAGGACCAAGCAACAGCATAATTTATGTAGTACAGTTAAAAATAAAACAAAAAATAGTTAACTTACAAAATCTCCAAAGGTTTGGCAATGCAACTCCCAATACATTCACTATCAATCGCATGGCTAAATTCCTACATTGCACAGGAAAACAACTCAGCTAAAATTTTCTTAATGTGCAACACAGTATGTTTGCTAAAGCAGATAGAATTAGTGAATAGGAGTGAAAGTAGAATAAACTGCTGAGTTTTTAACAAACAGAAGAGTATTAACAACATCCATTGTGCATATCTGAGTTTTTCAGAACTTGCTAATTCACTGAAATTCTGCAGCTCTATGAAATCTAATGCTGATCAGACAATTGTAATACATAAAGCTGTCTGGTTTTTATAGCCAGTGATAATTACACTGGGTGAAGAAAGGAATCACAAACTTACCGGCAAGAGGAGCAGTTCATTCAGGGCTGTGAATTGTCAGGAGCCACCACGCTGCTGGTACAGCACAGGGTAAAAGAGAACATGTCCCCTCACAGGCACTGTCCAACATTAGATTAGTAGGAAGAAAGGAAAGCAGCTGACACTTACTATCATTATAAAAGTTCCCAGGAACTCTGAGAGGGCTTCTTTAACCAAGCTGTTCTTCAAGGCAAATTTCTCCTTTAAACTCCTTTTGCTTTTCCGGCTCATTTTGGCTTCCTCTGTTGTTCTGGTGCCCTAGTTACAAACACACACAAAATTTGCTCTGTATCCGTCCCTGCTCCAGCTGAACTTTGACACTTTTACTTAAACATTGAAATATGAGATTTCATCTGTAGAGCCAGTGAAATCATCTGACTGCAGGCATTGAGAGAACCAACTCAACATGCCCTAACAATTCATCATGGGTTTGCCATTCTGTGCCTCCTCTAAGTACACTTCTATTTATACTCATTAGATAATACCCGTGAGTTCAAAATCAGAACTCTTTTCTTACAGAATGGATTAATCATTACCTTTCAGGCTATGTTACTTTTTTTTAAATCTTGGTAAAAATGAATAAAATGTTATTTTTATCATCCTGATCAAAAAGAAAGGCAAAAAGATAAACCACAAATAAGGAACCAAAATAGAGTTGCAAATTTCTCTCTGACCTAGATTGGTATTTAAACCACGCTACTATTGGCTGGCCAAGGTTTCAAGGGGAGGTTGTAAAAGAGGGTGAATGCTTGGGAGAATGCTGTGCTGTACCCTGTACACAAAAGCTCCTATCTTGTCACCTCTGAGAGATTTCAGTGGCTAATGAGGAATCTTACCTTGGTGTAGTGTGTTGAATTTGCATTTCACTCACAATACTCTTTTGGGACTAAATGTCTTGCTCTCTAGTGAACTCCCCTGTTTACATAAGACCAACGAGGCAGAATAAATTAGGAACATTTAATGAAATTTGCTTCGGTCCAGTGGCTCCCTATAATGCAGTAAAGGCAAGTGAGGGACTATATATCTCTCCAATTTGTTTAGCTTAAAAGTGCATAGGTGTTACAATATGAATCATAATAACAATACTTTCCATGGTCTTAAGACAAGAAGTTGTGGAATATCTCAAAGAATTGAGGCTCCTAGAGAAAAATATTACACTTTTATCTCTTAAGCATCTTGAAGGGTTTTATCAGATGGGATAGTGACTTGAAGCTGCCTGCTTGATTTACAAGTATTTTCTGTCGTTTGACTTGACACCAAAACCTTAGCCCAGTTCTGGTGGATTATTTTGGTATGTGTTGTAGATGCTCAGTGCCTTGGTTTGCATCTGTCCTAAACAGGACAGAGCTTTACAATCTGGGCAAATGAGCCCCTTCTGTTATCCCCCCAGTGCTCTTCCCTTCCTCCAACCAGGACCTGATGCATGTTCCCTCACCTTACAACCACCAGTTTCATCCCTTAACCACTCAGTTCACCCCCAAGACCCAGTTTTAATCTTTAACTGATTTTCTGTGCCCTTTTACTTACCTTTCTCTACCTGTGCATCCAAACACCACTTTGCCTTTGGCTGTTTCAGCAAACACTGGCCTGTGGAGCACCACGTAGCTGGTGAATCATGAGATGACTCTGTGCTGGTGCTGCCTGAGCCAGGTGAGCTGCAGGTCCTGCTTTACAGGACCTGCCTGTGGCACAGACAGCTGGGGAGCTGCCTCTAAGAAGCCTCTGAAAATAGCCTGTGTAGAGCAGTTGGAAAACCTTTACCCTACACCACTGAGAAAAGATATTATTCAGGACCTTAATTATCACAGCATGCTAAAGTATATGTTTGTTATGTCTCTGAGAGAAGTCAGAATTATGTACACAGCAGAGCTGAGGATGCTAGGGAGGCCATTCATTAGAGTGGGAATAAGATAAACCACTTCCTCTCTTCCAGGAAAATGATAAATAAATATGTTAGGAAAGCAATTTTTAGTTATTTGGTTTTAACTGTTCTTTCTCTTAAGCAGATGCAAGTCTCACTCACAAAGAAATATGTGGGTACCTCTGAGTTTAGTCTCATAACAGGGGTTAAGACATTAATGCTATTTTTCAACTAATTGTAGGGCAATAACATGTCAGATACAGAAATTCCTACTCACTTGTCCAGATCATGTTGCCTTCCTTATAACAATTTTCTCTCTTTACAGGGTGGAGAACTGGAACAAATACAGTTATTTTGCATTTGATTGTTTTCAGATTGTCTTCAATACTTTATAGAAATCATACTATTTAACCCCATTATTAAGAACTGTGATGCTAAGTTAGACCAAAGGTCCTCTTCAGCTTCATAATGAGATTCAATCAGATGCTCTAAGAAAGTATTGAAGAACAGAGTACACCGGGTTCCCATGGGAAATCCTTGCTTGCTTTTGACAGTTGGCAATTTAAAGTCACTGCCACACTTTTCAAAGAGAAAAGGGGGCAGCAAAGAACACTTGAACTAAGTTTCGCCTTTTATTGTATTGAGAAGGAGATTCTAAAGACATTTTCCAAATCTAACAAATAAGTATGTAGCAATACAAGAAAGACAAGTAAAATGTAAAGATAAACACCAGGAAAGCTTTGACCTTAATTCCTAACCAATTTGATTAATCCTCTGTTTTACTACCTCTTAGTCACATGCAATGGACCACTTGGTTGGACAATGGAAAGGAAATACTCTGTGGTTACTGTTTCCTGCTGCTCCCAGTGTTATAATGACAAGGATACTGGCAGTGCCACCCATAAATATTGACAACTGTGGTATCTGAGGGAAAAAAATGCAAGCTCCTCCAAAAATGGAAGCTATATATGTTAGGAGCATGCATATTAAATGTAGAACCACAACAGAGCTCACCAAAAAGATTTTAAGGTTTTGCCAAGAATGTGGAAGTAACAGTATAAATGTTTTCAAATTCCATTAGCAGAGGAGCCCTGCAAGAGATTAAGTAAAGCCATAGAGGGTGAGAGGTAGAAGCAGCATTCAGGGTTACTAACTCCATAGCTGAAAGAATTATTTGCCTTGCCAAAGAACCAAACATGGGGGGCTGAATGTGAGGAACTGTCCATAAAATAAATTGCCAGTAGGAAACACCTCAAGAGAAATTTTAAGTTAAAGAGTAACTAATTGCTGGAGCTGCACAGTATTTCCACCAAGGGATTAAAGTGTTCAGCTTCTCAAGTGCTAGCACCAGTGGGTTGTTTTTTGCTCAACCTGATCCTCATGCCAGAACAGAACAGAGGAAATGTACCAATGGTCCACAGATCTTTCAAGAGAGTCCTCCAAAGGTGACCATGGGAACTACAAAGCTGTCAATATGACTTCTGTGCCAGGGAAATTAGATGAACAGCTGTAAAAAAATAAAATCAGATATAGCTCATGCTCTGGAGAAGCATCAAATGGATTCTGTTAAGGGAGGTTGTGCCTCACAAATCTATTGACATTCTTTAAAGACTTCAAAAAGCACATTGATATTATTGTTCATTCTTGAATGTGTGATCAGTGTAACTTTAGACTGCAAAACTAAGACTCTTGGGACCCTTACCCCCAAGGCAGTCTGGACTGAACTATTTCTTCTCTTCACCTGGATTCAAGCAGAGCAGGAATTCACATGGTGTATATAACTTAACCATTTTTATAGTAATCTTCACTCCTATACAAATAGCAAAGTAGAGAATAATACACATAGCTCCCACAGTTTAAATCCCATGGGTAACAGTATATACTGTACTGAATTTTTAATAGCACATTATTCAGAGTATCACATAAATTGTTATTACTGATGTAATAAAACCTAAACCAACACAGCTGGAGAGACTGAGGCTATAAATACACCATATATTTTTTGTATTGTAATAATATGGGCCAAATTATTTTAAAGTCTGCTGATTTTAGTTGAATTAGACAAACTCTGAATGTGTATCTCTACTATAATTTATATCCCTTGTCAAATACCTCTGCCTAATTTATATTTCAATTTTCATCTAGAAACTGCTGCATGGTCCTTAAAGGATGTTCTCTGTTTCGTGGATTGATTCTGCTGCTGGGGAACTCAAAGAAAAAAAAATCCAGGTGAGGAAGATATGAAGACACTGTAATTCAGCATTCTAAGGGTTTTTGCATACACGATCTCCCTATTTCTTTAGTTCTTGTGTTTTCTGATCAGCCTTCTGTCTCTGCTGTAGTCTCTGGAGAAAAAGTGCTCAACAAGGGAAATATTTGCAGTGTGCAGTTCTAGTTTAGCTAAGCCCACCTTGGAGGAGGGGCAGGGCACATGAGGGGACCCTTTGAGAATTTGTTCTTTCTTCTCCGTTTCTGTGATCTCAGTGTCCAGATAAAACATTTCAGATCATGAATATGAGATCAAAACCACACCACATATGTGTTTTTAAGCTTTTTGCTGGTAATCTTTAAGGCCTGATTGAAAGCTTGTTGAAGTCTGCTTTTGCTGACAGCTGACTGGGAGCTGGTAAATGTTGTCACGATTTTCAAGAAGGACAAGGAGGAGGACCCCTGAAACTACAGGCCTGTCACTCTCATTTCAGTGCCTGGTAAAGTTATGGAGAAGATTATTCTGGAAAAACACATGAAAGGCAACGCAGTCACTGGTCACAGGCAGCGCGGTTTCAGGAGAGGAAAGTCCTGCTTATCAAACCTGATTTCCTTCTCTGACAAGGTAACCCACCTTAGCTGATCAAGGGAAGCCAATTGATGTAATCTTTCTGGATTTCAGTAAAGCTTTCCATACTGCCTCTCACAGGATCCTTCTGGACAAAATGTCCAGCCCACAGCTGGATAAACACATCCTGGGGTGAGTGAGCAATTGGCTCGTGGGTCAAGCACAGACGGTGACAGTGACTGGGGTCACATCAGACTGGTGACCTGTCACTAGTGGGGTTCCACAGGGCTCCATCTTGGTCCCTATGCTCTAAAACATCTTGGATGTGTGACTGGAAGAGACACTGAGGAAGTCTGCAGGTGACCCAAAACTGGGAGGAGCTGTTGAGTCCCTGGAAGGCAGGGAAGCCCTGCAGAGAGACCTCAACAAATTAGAGGGCTGGGCAGTTACCAACCACAGGGAGTTCAACAAGGGAAGGTGCTGGATTCTGCAGCATCTTGAGATGGGGCAACCCCAGTTGTACAGACAGACTGGGAATGATAAGCTGGAAAGCAGTGCTGGGAAAGGGCCCTGGGTGTCCTGGTCGATGGCTGGTTGGATATGAGTCAGCAGTGCCCTGGCAGCCAGGAGGGCCAACCGTGTCCTGGGGGCATCAGGCCCAGCATCACCAGCCAGGAGAGGGAGGGGACTGTCCTGCTCTGCTCTGCACTGGGGCAGCCTCACCTGGAATATTGGGGCAGTTTTGGGCACCACAATGTAGGAAAGATATTAAGCCATTATAGAGCGTCCAAAGGAGGGCAACGAAAATGGTGAAGGGCCTTGAGGGGAAGCCATTGAGGAGTGGCTGAGGGAACTGAGTCTGTTCAGCCTGGAGAGGGAGAGGAGAGGCAGGCACTGTTCTCTTCTCTTTGGTGACCAGTCACAGGACCTGAGGGAATGGCCTGAAGTTGTGTGAGGGGAGGTTTAGGTTGGATATTAGAAAAAGGTACTTCACCCAGAGGGTGGTCGGGCACTGAACAGGCTCCCCAGGGCAGTGGGCACAGCACCAAGGCTGAGAGAGTTCAAGAGGTGTTTGGACAACACTCTCAGGCACACGGTGTGACTCTGGGGATGATCCTGTGCAGGGCCAGGAGTTGGACTCGATGATCCTTGTGGGTCCCTTCCAACTCGGCACATTCTGTGATTCTGTGATTTCAGGGAGAATTAGATTGGGCTTTCTATAAAGCACAATTCCGAGACTTTGCTGTGTTCTTGTCTGCCTGGGCACACCATTAGGCCTCAGTGCATAACTGATGTCACTACACATATTATATATAGCTATATAACTGATGATAGTAAATTTTAAAATTTGTTGTACAGACATGTCTATGTATAAAATAGGCCCTGAGAATTTCTGAATTGTGCTTTTAAGGTATAGAACAATTTAGTACAGACAAATGCTTTGTTGCAGCCAATTCCCTGCTCTTTTTTTCTGCATATTCCCTTTTCTCAAATAGCTTTGCTATTAAAAACAAAAGATATCTTGGCAAATATATGTATGCAGCATGAAGAAAACCTCAAAGTATATCCAGTGGGCTTTGCAGGGATCTAAACTCTGTGTTTTCTTAACCTGAATGGGTTACATTATCAAAACCTTTCATCTTTCTACGGGGCACAGATTCCCTATAGCAATAGACACCCTGGGATTTATTAAGGTTACCTGTAGGATTGGGAAGAGCAGGAGATCTGAGCCTACCTAATGGATAAAAGAAATGCAACATGAAAGCCAATGGTAGTGACAGATTTGACTCTACTGACACATGAAAGCAAAGTTGCATGTTTGGCAAACAGGTGGAGCTAACTAGGACAGTGGATTCATGGCTCTGAAACCTGATTTGCATGGGGAAAGTGACAGTGTTTCCTGTGTCTGACTCCCCAGCCCACCTGCCTTCACCCGTCTCCCACTCTGGTGGCCCTCCAAGGATGCCACACAGCCACAATCTGTTGGACAATTATATCCTGAAAGAGCTGCTCTTCCTGGTGCTTTGTCCCCTCTCCCCCACAAGTGTTTGTTTTACCTCCACGCTCCACTCATCCCTCACCCTTTAGTAGGTGAGCTGCCAGCCTGCCTGGTTTTCATTCTTTTCATTCCCTTTCATTCAGGATTACTCACATTTGAACATTTAAATCCTCTGTCTTTCCAGAAACATAAGTTTTGCTTCTGGGATTCCTTTTATGTATTAAATATTAACAGTACAGATGATAAATTTATCTCAGGCTCCTGTATGAGAATATTAGATTGCCAGGCCCAGTTCCTTTGAAACTCCACAATCAAGACTTCTTATTAAAAAAAAAATATGTTCTGAGGTTCACAGCTGACCCTTCATAAGATGTACTTAAGAGCAGATCCAGCAGCAAACTCTTGTTACTTCTTTGTGATATCTATGTTCATTGAGGTAATGAAGCTATTAATTGAATATGTAAGTTCAGGTAATTAAATATAAGACTTATTTCTTCAGTTTAAAGGGTAATAATAAAAAATTTAAACTTGCAAACTAGATCACACTTTTAGTGATGATGAATGCGACCTGGAAAGTGCAATATTCCAATATGAATTAGTTAATTGCATCCATTCATTAGGTGATATACATTAGCAGAAGGTCAAACCATTTGAGGCTTGATGTGTTTTACAAATAATAAATTCAAACAGGTAAATTGAAATGAAATTCAAAATAGGATGGTTTTTTATATATTTTAAATCAGAATAAAATCTACAACCAAGAGCACACTCCCTATAACCTCACAATTGCCAGCACATGTTCTTCACAGCACTGTCCTGAGGTCACTCCGTGACTGCCACAGCAGTGCAGTGAGGGACAGGGACATTTCAGCTGGTGCCTTAAACTATAACACGAATTTTTGAAACTGGCCCAGTTATAAAGTGAGTCAAACACTGAGTCTTTTCAAGCATTTTCTGCATTATCACTCTCATTGGATTATTTGTGGCTTGTTTAAATCCTTAAATTTGAGTCTCAGTTTTGGATTAAATTTACCGTAAATTTACCAACAGTTGGTAAATTTACCAACTGTATCAGGTGGCAATTGCTTGAATAAATTATCCTGACCTTTAGGCTTCTTCTTGTTGCAAATTTTTTAAATTTATCAACTGTTAATTTACCAGCAATTAACAGTTCTACTGGGTACAAAATGGCCAATATCACATGTAAAATCTGATCTGTTTGACTCATTTTACTAAAAGCTATCCATTTGACTCATTTTCAGTAAAAAAAAAGTTAAATCAAGTTTTGTTCATTAGCCACTTCTGGATTTTCAGTAACAAAATGGTCATTCTTGACATCAACATTTCTGTTTGGGTTTTTTTAACATTAAAATTAATGTAGAAATAAGGGAAGTAAAAGTAGATTTTATTTGGTTTCTTTAGAACTTAAAATATTAATAATAATTTAATAATTAGTCTATATATAAGATTTATAATATTAAAATTAATTTCCTGGGATATTTGAAAAAATTCTGAAATAATATTTTACAGAATCACCACAGTATTGTGGGTGTTGCTTCACAGATAATGTTGCTTGTGTGTATAACAATACCTTTTTACCTTATATGTATAAAATACCTTTGTCTGGAGCAAGGACTGATACCATCCTGCACACACACCGAGGGCCATAATTCTTAAAGAGGTTTCAAACAGTGAGCCTCTTTCAATGGTCAGGCATGGAGACATTTAGAGAATTGATTCAATTAACCTAGAGGAAAAAAGTGCTGTAATGTGTGATTTATGTTTGCAGATAAATTAAAATACAAGTATCTCCTGAAGAGCATTTGCTGCCATCATGGTCAGTAATGAAAATAGCAGGCAATTAAAATAGGACACCTGAGGCTGGAGCTTTTACTGTATGTGTCAGAAAATGAAGTTCACATTTCCTAAGTGGAAGTCTGAGCTGAAAAATAACTTAGTGGAAGTTCCTTTCCGATCCTTGTTTTATTTCCAAAAGTGATTTCTAAAGCACACAAGAAATAGGAAGAGGCATTTACTGGAACAGGAGGCAAAGGGTACAGAGGAGTAGGCTCTCTCAATCAATACTGAATTTATATGAGGAACCATAGTTATCCCTGCTAAATGGTAGTGGGACATCTGAGAGAAAAATAAACATAAAAGAACTTATCAATCGTATTGAAATAATTTTGAGGTAGACTTTGCAGTTGATCTTGAAAGGAATCATTGGAAGTGATGTGAATAGATGGAAGGAATGTGATAGAATGATGTGATTCAGTTGCTTCATGTGTGTGACAGTGCTTAGAGTCTGGAGCTCACTAAGGAGCATAAGAAATATTCATGGATTAGAAGCACCACGAATGAAGGGTTCTTGGCTGGAGTGTTGTTGGAGTTGCTGTATCCACTGCCCATTTCAGAGGTGTATCCATACGAGTTTTGGCACAGCTACTCTGCCCAAAAGAGGTATTTGAGATACAAATAGTTTCACCCACTCTGTTTTTCTGACTTCCTTTAGACAAAAGGGACACAGTAGGGTAGAGCAGAAAAATACTGGTACGCTGATTGAGAAACCCAGAAATACCTTAATTACATCTGTATTGTGTTCAACAGTGCAGCTCTGCTTTTGCACCCTCTCTGGCTACCACAGGTCCTGTTTCCACCAGATGGTGTTTGTATAAGCCAGGTCTATATCCTTGTCCATAAATAATACCAGCTGCTTGGGGTGGGTGGAGAAATTGAGACTTCTAAATGAAACAAAGGTATATCTTCAAATTACATGTTCAGATTGCTCTAAATATAAAACCAAAACTCCTCAGGAATGATTTTGTTGTTGGCTAGCCTAAATTCTAACACTGAAGCAAGAAACAGTCACTCAGTTGTTCTTCATCTTTTTTGACAGCCATTTCTTCACAAAGTGTGAAGACTTTGGCATTGCAATCTGAAACAGAACGTATTTGTTTCCTGATTTGCTGTCTAAGTAGAAGTTTAATTAAA